TTTCCTTTTTAATGTAACTCGCGGGCAGGAATCTCAATACAGAATTTCCCGGAAAGTGCAGTAGACATAGATTTCTAAAACGTTTTTAAATCGCAATCGTGAGACTTTTTACCATCAGCGTTCAAATGTAATTGTGAATCTTCACGTCAAGTTTCGTGATGGTGCGTAATGTTTTTGTTTGTATTAAGCAATGTTCAGGTAAAAAAAAATTAATCAAGAACTTCCAATCTGCGCTAAATATGTCCGTTTTGTTATCAAGAAATATAGGCAACAGAAAAAAAAACCAGCAAAATGAGTGATTATTTGGAAGTAACAATTGAAAACAATCATTAAAAACCTTGATCTGTCTTAACAAGGAGACATCCTGATCATACAAGGCATTCATGTCACAAGATATACATCTTGTTTTATGAATACCGGGGGTTAAGAACTGGTCAGCTGGAGTGGTGTATAGCGATTCCCTTATCACCATTCTTAAACAGGCTATAGCGAAGAAAATATATGTGATATAATACTTCATCCAAACCTTACATTAGACTGCAGTTTTTTCTTCGTTACCTTTTAATGTCACTTGAGGACAAGAATTTTCATACAGAATTTCCTGGAAAGTGCAGTAGACATAGATTCCTAACACGTTTTTCAATCGCAACCATGAGACCTTTTACCACAGGCGTTCAAATATAATTGTTAATCTACACGTCAAGTTTCGTGATGGTACGTCATGTTTTTTCTTTTTATGAAGCAACTTTTATTGAAGGTAAAAAAATAATAATCAAGAACTTCACACCGTTCGATAGACAAGTTCGTTTTGGAATTAAGGGATACACATAATAGGAAAAATAACAGCAAAATTATCGATTGCTTGGAAGAAAGAATTAAAAATATCATTGAAAAGGACAAGACTGTAAGGAAAGCCTGTGTTGCATGACTCTTGGACTCCACTTAGTCTCAATTTCATAGAGAATCGTTCCAAAACTAATTTTATATTCCTTCTATGACCGCCTCTTGGATACGTAGACGAGACAGCATAAAGGACACTAATTAAGAATTGATCTTCGAGAAATTCAATACAAATAAGAAAACTCTTTGTGCCACATCAACCATAATCAAACAATTTTAGTACAATCAGCTGGTCATTAGCCAGTGAAAAGGCAATAAATTTAGCCGTTTCAATGGCTCGTTTGCCTTATAAGTATACTTGTGCTTATTCACTGAGACACTACATTGTACGTCACGGACTGAAGAGCAAGTAAGTAAAGTGCCATATGTCGAAGCCGGCTATCAAATTAAAGTTCATTCGTGAGTGGCTTCCCGCTCAAAAATTCTCCGAGACACCTGCTTTATATACCTTACGTTTCTGGGCGCATTTTAATTAAGGGCCAAATGTTATTTACTGAAGTATTATTTACTGAAGTATTATTTACTGAAGCATTATTGTATGAATATCTTGGGAGCATTCCTCGTCGTTAAAGGTTCTTCTATTCTAAAGTACATATATACCGCTAGGTGGTTAAAACTACAGCATTCTCGATGCTCTTTTGCCTTTTTTTTTTTTTCTTGTCAGACAAACCTTTTAGAGATAGTGGTCCCAATGGACCGAGTCACAAATGTGACATGGTTCCTAACTGGGTCTTAAGAATTATATTCCACACGAGAGCGTTCGATGTTCAAAAGCACCGGTTGCGAGTTTCTCATCTCCGCAAGCTGAAAATAAGCAAAAAACAAACAAACAAACAAACAAACATACAAAAACAAGAAATAGTAGCCGCTTACTTCACAGAACTCTACTTTATGGCTAATTACTGACACCCTTGCTTAGACACGGATGCAGCATTCAGCTATCTCTGGTTATCATTTAGAATGTATAGCTTGCTCAGCAAAATTATCCCCGTACTGGGGGTTTTCAAAGCTTATTGAGTTTCTCAGTCAGATCCTTGACCGTGTCGTGAAGGTGTATCATTTCACAAAGAGGCAGGTCAAAAATGAGCTGATTTACGAAAGACGCTAATGACATACACATCTCCTTTACTGCAGATCCAGGATGTGGTGTGTTTTTGCCATTCAACTTATCAGCATATTGCTGATTTTCCACGTTGATCTTAGTTATGGCCAGTGTTGGGATATTAACTGGGGATCAAGCCTGGACAGATTGGGGTGGCCAACTTGTCCTGATCTTAATACGTATCTCAAGGGATTGTGGAGGAACGATAAACGGCCAGGGGACGAGAGAGTTGGGCGCATTGAAACAGCAAGATGCTGCAATGCTTTTGTGTCAGCCTATCACATACAACCTTCAACTTGCACAAATGCTAACTGGTTGCACACTTTGGATAGGTGAACAATTGGAGAAAAACATTAATATAACTTATGGATAAGGTAGAACGATTTGTTACGCTCAGCTTTTAATCATCACGGATATGCATACGAAACGGTTTCTGAAAAAAGCATACGTTTATGGTAAGAAGTGTTTTAACACTTTTTTTAAAAAAAAAATCCTCTCTCTAAAAAAAAGGCTACAGTACAAATCAATAATTAAAGATGTGATGAAATTTTTAACTAAAAAAAAATTTAAGTGACATCATGTCGCTTCAAATTAAGACTTCGATGAGCCTTAATTAAAAAACAAGCAAGTGGCAAATTCATGAGTCAACAAAAAATCTCAAAACACAACTCAACTACGAATCAATAATTAAGAATGTCAATTTCTAATGCAAAGTTCAAATTTGTGGATGTAGTTGGCTTAATCCTCGAATTACTCGCTGCTCTTGAATCCAAAGTAATACACTAAGGAGGGAGGGGAAGGGGAAAGAAGAGATGACTGTGCTGTAGTTAGAAATGTTATTTATTTGGGAATTTCTTCGAGTGTGAAGATGAAACCAATTGGTACGATTATCATCGCCACTGATATGCTCATATACTAAATGGCTGCACCCTTGGGACAGAACTAGTATTTACGCTGATTACGTTTACAGAAATTCTACGGGTACAGAAAAAAAAAATGCATTTATGATAAAAAGTACTGTAAGGTATTTCTTCTCCATTCCAGAACTTATGTCTGGGCACTGTTTCCTGCCGGTTATTACATGCAGGGCATGAGGCTCGGCGCCGGTCCGCCAGCCTACCTGCACCACATTGACGAGGCAAAATGTCGCAAACCACAGGGTCACCCAAACAGTTATGAACACTGTTACGAAGAAGACCTCACTTATAAGTTTGACAATAAAGGTTGGGGGTTCTGTAAGCAACAGGGGTATTACTTGGTTGGCATCTACAAAAGTGGCTGCAATCAACTTTGCTGCCTGAAAAAGTTGAGATGCTGCAAGATGAAGTTAGGTAAACGATCTCTATTTTCATTTGGAATCCATCTTAGACAGCAGAGAGAATGATGAGGGGATACCGTTCGAAACGTCAGTTCTAAAAATTATTTATGGCGTCCAATTGACTTCAACTCAGTTAGTAAAACGACATAATCTTTTTACACCTCCCCCCCCCCTCTACTGACGCAGTACCACAGTTTCTTAACTCCTTTATCTTCAACGGTATTTCCCAAAATAATCCTTTAATTCATTTTTAATTTTATGATAGTTTTTACATTGCCGTGGGTCGCAGCGCTTTGAATAATATAATCAGTATCAGAGGAATCATTTGGCTTTTATCTTACGCTATGAGAGTACAAATTCTTAAACCTTGATAAGTTATTTTTATGATCGCCCCTTTTTAACCATGTCCGCATAGTTTGGAAAAATTTGATGATTAAAAACCACAAATATTATTTCAGTGTCAATGGAATTTAAACCCAAACTGTTTGAAACTATAGCGTCTGGATTATCGTTACGAAAACATAGTAATTCTAAATTCAGAGATCAAAGAAAAATTGAAAAATAATTGCAGCGTAAATTGCAGCCCATAATCATCAAAATTGGAGTGAACCTACACAATAAAAGGCTTTCCTTAAGCAATAACAAAGCGATTATAAATCATAGTCACCTGCGAAATGATTTCTTTTAAACAAATGCTAATATTCCAGAAGCTGACCATCAATATGTTTCGTTTTGAAGGTGCTGTGAATGGTGGATGGAACAACTGGGGAGCCTGGGGACAATGCAGCGCTACTTGTGGACAGTATGCACGGCAAGAGCGCACGCGCAGCTGTACCAATCCTCCTCCATCTCTAGGTGGGGCGCAGTGTATTGGAGAAGACAGAAATTCAAGATCCTGTAGTAGCCAACCTTGCCCTGGTAAGATTCTTTACGTTCATTGCAATTACAGGAGGCTTCTTTCACATAGCGACCCTCACTGTGAGAAGATGCGATAAAGAATAGAAAGCGCTCAAGATAAAGTAAATATTTTTACGGTTGAAGTAAACGGAGGATGGAGTACTTTTGGATTCTGGGGCCAATGCAGTACCTCTTGCGGACTTGGATATCAAGAGCGCGTGCGTTCCTGTACCAATCCCCCTCCTTCGGGCGGTGGGGCGCAATGTTCAGGAGAAAACAGAGAGACAAGGTCTTGTAATCGTGGAGGATGCGCTGGTAAGTATAACTTTATATATAAAGCATTTCTGTCGAACACGGAGCACATTGTGAGCTTCATGAGTTCTGTTCCGTGAGGGAACTGTCATCAGTTATCACCTGTTGATAGTTAGTTGGAGGATTTTGTTTGTGTTACGGTAAAATTTACCTGAACTCCCTCAGAAGGTTCTGCAATATTGTTGTGACCCCCTAACCCCCTCCCTCACTGGGCGTTATTTGGCAGTAAATGTTCTAAAGTCTCTCCTTTATACTCTTTTGGCGACGGCTAATTCCCCACCCTCCGTCCCCACCTCATCCAAACCATGTGTAGTTGTACTCCAAACTCTTCCAACCCGCGATAAGAAATGACAGGTCTCCTGTACTGAACCTCGCATAATCTTAAGCCGTCACTTCAAAGTTTTACAAACGTAGGAGGGATGATGTACTTAGAGGATTTGTGTACTTTTCTAACCAATCTAACCAGCAGACTCACTTTTGATATTCCTTAGAAATAATCAGTCGGGGCGACTTATCATAGAAGAGTTGACTGGGTGTAATTTTGACAAATGGATGGCTGGAGTAGCTTAGGAAATTTGGGACCTTGCATTGTAACCTGCGGAGTTGGTTAACAAGAGCGCATGTGTACCTGCCCCTACCCTTTTTCATTGGGAAGTTGCCATGTTCGAACACAGCGGTCAAATGATTGCACATGCGTATCTGCTATTGTAAACAATGGCATTTCTGAATTAAGGATGAATCAGAGCCAAAGAGCGTTCAGCCGGGGTAGAAGAAAGGTTCTGTCATTTGCCAGTTGAGATATCTCATAGTATAATAACACCAAGATATAATCTTTCTCCAAAGTCTTTCTTTCACTTGTCTTACGCATTGGAAAAGTTAGGAATTTAACTTTATCTTCCTGACTTTACGCTAAACACGCGCTCGTTAATCACTCTTATTTTTTTCAAACTCTCGTGCATGCGCAGTGTTTGACCGCTGTGTCCCATGTTCGGGACCTGACATAGAAACACGGCCTCGTAACCAGGCCTCGTACAGTAGCAGGTTTTTATGAACTAGACTGAAAATTCTTGATTTTACTAGAGTCAAAATGGTTCGTTTTGTCATTTTGATTAAAAAAGCGTTTGAGGAATGAGCTATGGGTTTTATTTCTATGTTTTCTGTGAGGAATGTATAAATTTTTGCACTTAGAAAACTGGATCTTTTCTCGTGGTATCTTTCAGTAAATGGAGGCTGGAGTAGCTTTGGAAACTGAGGATCATGCGGTGTCTCTTGTGGATCTGGTATGCTAGAACATCCCCCCCCCCTCCGGTGGTGGGGCACAATGTTCAGGGCCCAGTATAGAAACAAGGGTCTGTGGTAATGGAGGCTGTCCTGGTATGTGTGCCTAGACAGAAAGTACTCTTGCACGATATATAAGCATAAAATGTCTGGTCGTGTTTTTGGATAGTTTTCATAGATAATATATGAGCTTGTATTTTTGGTTTAAATAAATAAATAAATAATATATGAGCTTGTATTTTTGGTTTAAGTTTTTACTTAGCAGGCTAAACCTAAGTAATTAACTCTCTGTAATTTATTTCATTTGATTTTGATGAGAATCCCGTGGAAAAGGAATCCAATAAAATCTACCCCACCCTCAACAGGAGGCTTCTTGCTTAGTTGGTAGTGTTGCTGCAATTAGTTATCAATTAGTGAATTTCGGCAGGGGACGTTAAAGAACCCACATCACGAGCTTACTGTGATGTGGTCTGGCCTGGTTACTGGGAATGGGGGGATGGGGCATCTGTAAAATTTCTTCTTTTTTTATTGTAAACTGCTGCCGGCAGCCTGGAAACGTCCCCCGCACAGTGTTGCAAAGCGCATTAGAGCATTCCATGGAAATGCGCTATAGAAATATATATATATATTATTATCATTATTATTATTATTATTCTCTCGTGTACCTTTCTTATTGCAGAAGACGTTGATAATTGTTGTAATTCTGTGTCACTCTAGTTGAAGTTTTGGTATTAATAGGGACCTTACGCAATCAGGACGGCAACGCCAAGGAAGACTTCGATTAAAAAATGAATTTCTACTCTTAGTTAGAATTTCAAAAATGGTTGCAGGAGCTTACTGTCTTATACGGCGCCACAGCTCAACTTCAGCATGACGTATAAAAGTAGCGTTGAGTTCCAGACGACGCAACGGTTTCGGTTCGCAGACGACGCAAATTTTGGCGATTTCACGTTGTTGTTTTGCATAGGACGGCTAAGAAATGTACAAAGTTTCAATGCACGTGCTGAGCTATTGTTTTGCCAATTAGATATCTTGTTTTTCCACGTCCTCGTTGCCGTCGCCGTCGTGGTTGCGTAAGGTCCCTAATGTCTTGTTTTGATCGTCATCAATGAGAGTTGCCATTAGTAGACGATGCTTATCAGACTTTGATGTCCACTGTGACAAGGAAAGGACTAATCTGATGAAATCTTTGTTGATTGTTTTTCAGATGCATGCCATGGTTAAGAAAAATTGGGGATACTGAATATGTCTACAGCTGAGGGTTAAAACGTTACTCATTATGGGAATCATCTGTGCTTACCAAATTATCACATCATATGTAAAGGAACCTGTGATTAACTGAAATTGTCTAATCTAATGACTTGTAGGCAATAAAGAACTGGAAAAAAAATGCATCTTCTCGAGGTGGTTCTTAAATAAATCTACGAACAAAGATTCTCAGATTGATGTAAGAAAGACGGTAGTTTAAATTAGAATTATAATATCTAGGAAGAGGAGGTGCTAATGAATTGATGACCTTAGCGCCTTTATCTGCGTAAGTGTTTTAATAAACGAAAATTATACAAAACAAGTGGCTGCATCTGTTCGTGCAGATATTTGCGTTGAGATAGTCGACCCTACATGATGCCTTGATCAAATCTCTCATTCTATGAAAACTCTGCAAAATTAATGTGGAAGATCAAGCCTGTAAGGACGAAAATTTTTTTTTCTTGAAAAAATTTTCTTTAGAAAAAGTCATATATGAGGCTGTTAATCATGAATCTCAATGAAAAACGTACAATACGTGATCACGTTTTATACAAATACTTATACAAATACTTCTCGTTTACGAAATCGATACGGTGTTAAGATGACTGATCATTTCGATTTTCGTACAATATTTAATTCTAAAAAAAAAAAAAAAAGTCTTTTTATAGGATTACACAATTACTGGTGAACCATTGGTTTCCATTGTGGTCCTTGCAAACAAATAAAACAAATGGTCTAAATTGAACATAACATCATTAAGAACCCAAACTGGCCGGAGGAAAACCAGTTGGCTATTTACAAGCGTGGCCAAGGATCTGAACTCGGGGCTCCCGTGAAACAAATCCAGTGGTCAGGGTGGGACTCGAACCCGGGAGCAGCGGATTACGAGTCCGACACTCTAACCACTCGGCCACACTGCCTCCTTAATTCTTATCCCATCTTAATTCTGATGGGATTCTGCCTTTCCCGGAAAGACGTTCAGATGCAAGAATAACTTTTGATTAAGATTCCGAGGTATTAATCAACCCTGTATGAATGGCATCTCGTTAACAAGAAAACAATTAAAAAGTGCCTGAGAATATTGTTTTTTTCTGCCCACAGAGAAAACTATATGAAATAATTATGCCCAATTGCTTTTTTAATGAAAGGCTGTCGAGGTGGCGTTTGAATACAAGTACATTTGGAATAGAGGGCATAACTAAGAATTAGGCGGTTTGCTACTCAAGATACCCTCATCGTAACTGCTTTAACCTCGCAACCTTCCACAATATATATTTCTGAGCGAAATGACACGTATACAAGTAAAGAAATCGGGCTCTCAGGTGAGCTGCAATGAAATGAGTTTCAGAAAGAAACGCCAACGAAATTCAAGCTTCGATGCATTCGGTTGAAGCTTGAATTCTATGGGAGGCAACCTGTTGATTAAGGACACTAGCCAGAAGGCTCATTTTTATCAAATTGAGTATTCATTAGTTAACTAATTTCAGAATGATTCTAGATACACATATAGTTATAATGTTTATCTGTTTTTCTGTATTTCTACTGCTTTTGTAATCGGACCTTTCAGCGTCACCACGCGCACATAAAAGGGTGAGTTTAGCATCCCTTTAAACACTTCCTCGTAAGTTCAGTTGAGTAGTCTTGGTAAATTTTCGCCCTTTCGTTTTCTCAACCTTTGACACAAGCGGGACCGATATGCGAATACCTTTGTAACTTTCTTTTTCTAGTCAGTTTATTCAGTGTTGGGTGACAATATACGAACAGATATTTCGTTGTATTGCCGTATTCGCGATTGATTTAAGATGTTAAAGTCCAAAATTGTACCAAATGTAAGTGAATGCCCACCATTTAGATAAGAACAATGGGCTTTTAACCAGCCACCAAAATTCTTGTAATTTGTATCGAAACTTTTGTATTGGTTTATTTGTATTGTTCATTGTCATTTTAATCTCGTTATCGGCGTTAAGGCCCTTTTTTTACACGCGATTCTTTGATTATGTATTCCACGACATTTCATTAGATTGATAGAACTTCGTTGTATTGTAGTTTCAGTTTACTATCTATAGATTGATTAATTGTGAGATTGATCGTGATTTTTATCGTTGATTGTGGTTCGCGGTCAATTGCCTTTCAAGAATAAAGATTCGTGCAAGCAGTCAACTTTGGTTTGTTATCTCGATCTGTAAAATAGTCCCCGAACACCTCGTTAACTGCGTCTTCGAGCGACGGCCCTTAGAACCGTCGCAAACACTATACAACCTTCTTCAACGGTAAAATAATAAATAAAGCAATATTGTTTTGTACTTTATTTTCGTTCCCTTTATGACAAAACCAGGTCAAGAATACCAAATATTGCCACCTTAGTAAATGAATCGAATTCAAGCCAGAGATTTTTCTGTGATTTGTCTTTTTCTTTCCCAGTTTGCTGCCGAATAATTCGCAAGTGTTTTATACCTGATCAGAGTGGAAGATCCAGGCTCATTAAACTTGCAACATTTCCGACCAAAGCTAGAAAACTTTTCAACAAAAGTTGGTGATAAGTTTAAAATGAGGAAATGTCTGGCACTATTTTAAGTTGTAATTGGAGGATCATCACAAAGGTATATTTAGGAACGGACTATCGTTATCGGCATGGGAGGTTTCAAAGGGTTCTGTCCTTTCTTTGTACCACCCTTTTGTGCTGTTTATTGACGAAAGAAAGAAATTTTGAGCAAGTTTTTGAATGACCTGCACGATTAATTATGGCATAAATTAGTGTTTTTCTTTATCGCGTTTGACCCTTATTGAGTGGAACTAGTATCCAGTGGTCAACCTGTATGAAGCGGTCACCCCTTGTCATTTCAGGTTCGACTGTAACCTTAAAACAAAGACATTTTATATTACCTCAGCTATGACTAGAAGGGCACATTTATGGTGGCTGTATTAAATTAGTATTTTTCGTTTCATTTGGTGAATAAATGATAAAAGAAAGGTTGGTCCTTAAGCTGTGATTCGTTTAAGGAAAGTGAAACTCCAGATGAAAATTTTTTGGCTCCAAAATGAGACTTCGTAGTTCAGTTGGCAGTAGTGCTAAAGCGCTATCTTTGAGATCTCGGTTCCAAACTTGAAGTTTCTTCACTGTTTTTTCCTTTAATTGCAGGTTGGTGATTGCAATTTCCCTGTACGGATCACAGAAACTTTGTAAGTATCGCTTGATTTTGTTCTACCGGGGGATAAACAAATGAACTGAATATTATCATGAAAAAATTCCCCCTTTCTTCGTGCTGCAAATATCATTGACGTTTGTAATAATTAGAACTGAAAATTTTTGGAAATTTGAAAATATTGCTGTCCAATTTTACTGTCGACTAGTTAAAGTTAGTTTCCGCTTTCAGGAGCGTGTCTCTAGTTGCTTTAAGCCTACGGAAATCAAGAGCTATCAGCCAATAACATTACAAAAGCCTTTTTTTTTTCTGGATTCAGCCAATCTACACATTAGGTAATCTTAGTCTGAAACTGTCACTGAGTTCAGTTTTAAAAATCTTGATAACAGTTACTAAAATCAGACAAATTCATCGTTTTTATCGCTTTATTTTTTCCATTAATTAAATGCAGACGCGATATACTATTGATTAAGATCTTAGGAAATCTAAAATCCCCGAGAGGAAATTCCTCTTTTGACTAGTATTTCCCCTAGTTCCCCTATAACCTTTGCTATACTAATCCCTTAGTCCTGCGTGGAGCTTGGCAGCCCTCTGTTAAAATTTCAGGTGATTCCCATTGTTTCCCAGGTCGATTTGCAGATCTGAAAGAACAATAGGAAAGTTCCAAATTTTTCGCTGTGTTTCAATGACTCAATGTGAAAAAGTAAGTCGAAGACCACTTGCTTTTGGCTACGTGTTTCACATGTTGGCACGTTGGTTGAAAAGACTCAGTTAATAAATAGGTAGCGCTGAGACTGTCTACAAGGAAGCTCCAAAAGGAAAAGGAAAATGAGAAAAGGAACGGCATCGGTTTTTGGAAATATCTCCCGGCGAAAAACAGGAAAATTGGTTAAAGGAGGCCAGCTTCGACAACACGGGTTGGAAATTAGAAATGCCTTGCTTGAGAAGTTTGTTTTTTTACGGTCCCTCCCTCTATTGTATATAGGAGTGGATGAGAACGACTACACAAATACTGACGACATCTGAAATACTATCCTACAGAAGCATTGGTAAGACAAAAAGCCAAAGTCAAAAGAGGCTACCTGTTTTTCCTGTTACTTGTTTTACTTGTCTCCTTTTCATTTCAAAGCTAAATAAAATTGAAAAATGAATCATTGGATATACAAACAGAACATCAAAACTTCATCCATTGTTATCAGAAAGAACTTTAAGATCAATTTACAACGTTATAAAAATAATACTAAAATAATGATAAATGGGAATTTAACAATGGACATTCCACTAAGAGGTTATTCTTGTCCATTTTTACCAAATCGAATAAAAATTTGGAGTGTTGATTTTTAAGTAGAGAGGAAAACCGGTGAACTTAGAGAAAAATTAAAGCCCTCGGAGCAGGACTGGAACCAACAACAGGCTCAACCCACACGCGACGCTAAGTACAGGACTCGAGCCCGGGTCAAAGTGGGCACCATTCCTGCATCCTTATCAAGCACTAACTGTAACGAAGAAATAACCATAGTATTCAAAGCAATTTTCGAGAAAAAAGAGAAAGTGGTATTTAAGTTATTTTGCTATCGATGTGGAAATCCCCAGTTGTCTTTACCTCTTTTCATCTTGCAGCATCGGAATTTTTCAATACAATAGATGTTGTTGCAGCTGCTCTTATAGAACCCAGCCATGTAATAGCCCTCCCTTTTGCAGGAGCTCAATCCCTTTTTGTCGAACGAATGGCTCACATCTTCATCGTAACAACTGTCATAGCCGTCAGGATGACCTTCAGGGTGGCAGCATTTGGCTTCATCAATGTCTCTCAGGAACTGAGGAGGTCCTTTGCCAAGTCGGAGACTGTTCATGTAATAACCAGCCGGACACAGCGCCCAAACGTTAAATCTGGTAAAAGAGCAAACGATCGAGTTACGTTAAACATCAACTAACTTCCTGAAATTCAAGAGACAACAAAACGTGAAAGTAGTTAACGACCCAATTCATGTTTATCATTTGAAAAGAGAAATTTGATGCATATGCAGATGCAATAAAGTCAATAAAATTTTTAATTTTTCCCATTAAAAGACAATTTTAAAAATCGATTTTAAAAATCGATTTTTTTTTAATAGCGGTTTAAGACTCCAGAAAGAGACAAGACTATTTAAATGTGCTGAGAGCCTAGACGCCGCCATTTTTACAACGGGTTTTGACTCTACAAAGAGACCTGACTATTTAAATGTGCAGAGACTTTAGCGGACGTCGCCATTTTGGTACAATTTCAGTAACCTCGTTGCATACTTAAAACCACAAAACGATGCTCACAAAAGAGCTGCTGCGCTCTTTATCTAAAGAGTCTCTAATTTGGTAAAAAATGCTTTTTGTTTAGCTTTTTACAGTTTAAACGGACCTCCAAAAGATGGAAGAAAGAGGTTTCAGGCCTGTTGGAAGCCAGGTAATCGGTGAGAGTGCCAAGAGAGATTAAAACTGACGACGTTCTTAATAAGATTTGTAGCTCATTAATGAGCCAATTTTTGGTAGGTCAGGTGCAATTACAGTTTACAAGCTCGAATGCGATCAGTGTTATAACATCATATATATTTTTCAGTGGTGAAGATAATACTAAATGATTTCTGGTGCGAAATTCTATTTTAAAATCAAAAATTGGTTTTTCTGTTTACCGACGTTAGGGAATATCGTGCAAAAAGCTCTGATCCGAGATTAAACAGAGGACTATACAGAAAAAAAGCGTAGATCATACTACCAAAAACGTTAAATATTTCAGTTTGGGAGATCGTGCTAGAGCACTTGGAATCATGACTTCTTTGTAGGTGCGTTTAGTTGTTCACAACACACAAACGAAATGCGTTCTATATTCAGGTTTTACTCACCCATCCAGCAGTCTGGTCCAGTCGGCATTTTTACAATTTGCAGGCTTGTTGGCATAACATGGTTCGTCTGAGGTGCAGCATGTTCCCTCTTCAATGCGTCCAACTCTTTCATCTCCTGCTTTAAAGTCATTTCTCCACAATCCCTTGAGGAAGGTGTTGGTTTGAGGGCACACAGACCAGCCTTGCCTGTCCAGGCTGCTCCACCAGTTGGCCTTTTTACACTCTAAAATCACAAAGATTTATTTATTTTTGATCAAGACGATTTATGCACGATGCATACATTTTTAGCAATAAGGATTTACCGGTTTGTGCCTTTACAAATCATTGCAGTTTAAGCTTTGTAAAAAATTAAAATTTGTGGATTCATGATGAGGTGTATTTGTGCCTTTAACTTAGAAGAGGTGTTGGTTCATCTCTCCAGTGGCAGGTGCAAGCCTTTCATTCGTTCATCTATTTTGTAAAGGTAATCACATGACTTCGAGTGCAATTTGGAATAAATAAGCACGAGTAAATTTTTTCAAAGACAAACAAAATTGCATGAGCCCGTAGGGCGAGTGCAATTTGTGGTCTTTGAAAAAATTTACAAGTGCTTATTTATTCCAAATTGCACGAGAAA